ACGAGCTCGTATTATATCTTAATGGAAGACTTCATATCGGAGATCTTTCATAAACGAACGAAGCAATGTATGCGATCGATTTATCGCAATCTTCTTGGGAAAGTAAGCATTGAATGAATGACACAATTGTATTTTATAAACATTCTCCTACTCTCACAATCTCTAATATTTATCGTCGGAACTTTTTTCCAGTCAATCGTTTCGAGTAAGTCAAGCAATTCTCGGTTTACCTTCGAGGGAAAGTTATACTTATCAGTTATCTCTTAAAACGTTTACGACGGATAAAAGAATCAACGTAAGCTCTCTTCTTTCACGATTAGGAAAGAAAGTCAATGGCCCATATTTATAGTCGAGTGTCAAATCAATACTTAAGATGGTCTTGATCAAAACATTTTTATTTAAACCAGAACATCTTAAGATTATTGTGAAATTAGATGATATTCATGAAAAAGATTTTTCTCAAGTAAGAAGTGCTTATTTAAGATCAATGGTTATTCTTGAACGTGCTTATTCTCGTGATAGTTTCCTGTAATCTCCTACAATAGAAACATTGAAACATTTCATGTTTATATTAAATCTTGGCCATATTTGTTATTCTCTTTTTTTTTTTTTTAAATTATACAAATTTCTAATAAAGAAAATCGAATGGTTATAATTATGTTTATATATATATAATTAATTAAATTATATATATATACTTTTTATAACTTAATTAGACGTTTTTGCTATTAAAATTTTATAGTTTATGAGTATGGTAAATTTTGTTATTTCTTTTATTTGCAATAATAAGTATTTCTAATAATATTACGTTATTGTATTTGCTTTTTTAATTTCATCATTTCCTTTTATATTTTATAATCTTCAAGAAAAGAATTTGATTATTAGATAACAACAAATATTGGCTATGTGTAATACTGTCCATGAAATTTTTTCTAAAGTCTTTGTTTATTTTTTCGACTATGAATTCTAGAGAGCATTTTAAGATCGAACTTAAAGTGACCTTCAAAAATAAAACTCGACTATGAATACGAGCCAATGTTTATATTCTAGAGTGGGCGTGTTCGACTAACTCTACGTGCATTACGAAAATTAGAAGATTTCATTTATCTTACGAGAACTAGCACATTACGATTTATTATAAAAAGAAACACGTTCCGATTTTATTCTTAATTATGTTCTCACATGTTTGACATATTAACCATGATATTCACAGTTCGCTATGAAAAATAAAATATTTTGAACATTATTTTATTTATTTATTACATTACATTAAATCGATTATATTAGATCATTTGTTTTATGACGACTGGCGCAATTCAAAGATAAAACGTGTTAAATTTTCTGAACAATATTGCTTATTGTTAACGTCGATACATGTTAGTTTTCGCAATTAAAAAGCATTGTAAATGCTATTCTTCGAATACAATAAACGAAAGGATGTTATTTTCCGAGAACATAATCGCAACGTAGCTTTTCGTGGTTCAAAAGTCCAAAGTGTTAATCACTGTGTGACAAATGAAACGTGATATATTTTTTCATAGCGTACGTCGAATTAAAGAAAATGAATAGGAAAATTCTCTTTTTGTAGTATGCATTGTTCAAAAGAAAAAAGAAAAAAAAATAATAGTCACCAGATGAGAAAATATCGTTACTAAATTTGTTGAGATTTACCGTAAGGTAGTTAAATAAACATAGATGAAAGAAACTGTAGAAGGGTGAAGGGGATTAAAACACCCATTACTATTGTGAATAAAATTATGGAGGGTGAATTTACGGGTGCAGACAAAGAAATAACATTGGATCTATGCAACTAATAATGCGAAAAATATGAAAGAAGAAAGAGGTGTGCACGCGAGAGAGACATAACGTGGTTATAAATAATGAGCCACCGGTATTCGAGTAGGCAACAACACGAGCACATCGCGTTTCATGTTGAAGGAAATGTGTAATAAGTATGGGGTATAAAAGTCTTAAGGCGAAATAGGTTGAGTAAAAAGGGTAGCGTGTACATTTTAACAATATGATTAGTCCGTGTTACCTATGCATACAAAAATCGTAAAATTTTTTAAAAAGAATTTTAATATTTTGACCGACATATTAGACGAATGGTCATCAGTAACATTACTGTACTATACTATATTAACTTTTTTCTTCTTCTTCTTCTTCTTCTTCTTCTTCTTCTTCTTCTTCTTCTTTTTCTGTTAGATATCATTAAAAGAATATATTCTAAAAGAATTTTATTAATTTTCTTTATTTACACCGTCGTATTTTCTCGTATTAATGCGAAAATTACTCGACGATAATATCATAGACATTTAATTAAATGCAATACCATACAATTCCATTCTAGCGGAATATCAATAACTTCGCATTTTTTCAGAATTTAAAATGTCAACTTATTGATGCAAAGGAACGTTCCTTTACTACCGGCTAGATAATATTACGTGTTTCAGAATAATGAAAAGAAAAAAGCGGATATATCGGTTCGTATCAGTAAAAGGATTAATAATGTATTCGGCAAGTTACAATCGTACGAGGAGTACGATAACGTCACTGTGCGATGTAAACGTGACACGAACATATTTGTTCGCCATTACTTTTTGAGCTAGTAGTTTTAAAGCGTGCACAATTTAGAGTCGTTTAATAACAATGACGGTAGGTAATAACTAAAGAATAAAAGGAGGTCAGAAAGTCTTGAAGAAAAAATATAAAGAAATAAGAGAAACGATTGAAAAAAATTTCGGTGAATACAAATCAATGACGTTTTCTTACGGGCTCATTAATATTATTGATGTGTACCATTGTAAAGATACAATACAAAATAATCTTTCGTAAAGACGAGGATAAAATCGTGTTGCCCGAACAAAAGTCACGAAATGCTGATAAATATTCTCTCGTTAAGTAATTCCCGTGAGGAAACATAATGCTGATCTGAAAAGTATTTGGTGTTTGTTTAAAAAAATCCCTCCTTACCCTGAAACCCCGTATAGAGATAAAGGCAATTTTAATTTGATAAATTCCATCGTCAAAATATTGAATCTTTTAAAATGATTGCTTGTCATATTTTTTTGAAACAAATCTTCCAAAAAAATAAAGATACCTAAAGTACTTAGTTTCACGTCCTTATTATTGCTATCCATATTATTTCTTCACGCTTATCCCTTTAGATCAAATTCGAAAGTATTGAAAGAAGCTTCTTCTCTCTCTCTCTCTCTCTCTCTCTCTCTCTCTCTCTCTTTTTCTTTTTCACATTATTACCCATGTATTGTATTAAGAAGTTAAGATAAAATAAAAACTATTTTAGGAACAATCAATCGAATTTATTTAACGATAGTTCCAAATTATAACATACATGAACGACATAATATTCGAACATAGAATAATCGACGTAAGATATCAAATATCTCTTTTAGTCTACTTTTTTGATATCCATCAGTTAATATTGAAACCTAATTTGGTATCATTGATGTTACGTTAAGGAAATAGTGCCTGACGTTAAAAAAAACAGTGCCGCGAAAGGAGAAACAAACAGAGTATATAACGTGTCGTAGTGGGAGATGGTTGGAGGAAGCGGGTAAAAGCTTGGTAGAAGGAGAAAGAGAAAAAGAAAAAAAGATGAAATGGAGGATACCGAAAGTATGGACACACTAGAGACTCCTGTCTCTTCGTTCTTTCCTCCATGTTGTTTTCCTCCCCTCTCCAACCCCTTCTCTACCTTCTCCCTTCTCTTTGGTTATCTCTCAACTCCCTCCTTTTCACCATTTAGAAGGAAGAGAATGGATCTAAGGAATGAAAACTAAAAGAGAGAGGGACAGAAAGAGATAAATAAATAGACAGATAGAGAGAGAGAGAGAGAGAGAGAGAGAGAGAGAGAGAGAGAGAAAGAGAGGTTTTCATTTGTTAGATAAAAAGCGGACGGAGTAGGGGTTGAAAGCGAGTAAAAAAAAAAAAAAAGAAGAGAGAAGGGGTAGGTAAAAGCATTCTGACTCAATGCTGTCATCTACTTGACGCCCCTCGGCATGATATCAACGATGAGAAACTACAGTATTTCCGCCTTTTCAATATTATTAGCAAGAGCATGCACGTAGGCGGAGTCACGCCATCATGCTGGTTGCCTATTGGATAACCTAATGTTTAATATATCATGTCATAACGGAGAACCGTTGCTATCATTCCTTCTCTCTTTATCAACTTTACTCCATCCTATTTTAATGCTTTCATCACTTTATTATTTTTTTTTCTTTTGCCTTTACGATTATTGATTTGCGAGAAAAAAATTTATTTAACATAGGTAAGTAAATATTATTATTTACTTACTATATATTATCGATATTTCGAGAGAGTTAGAAGATCGAATAATAGAATTGCGCGCGCAGAGAAGGTTGACTTGTTCGACCGTGTACACGCCCTTCTTGTTCTAGTCCACGTGGTATTTCTACGAAGAATTTAGTTATTCTCTCTCTCTGTCTGTTTCTCTCTCTCTCTTTCTCTCTCTCTCTCTCTCTGCCTCTCTATCGCCCTCTCTCTGTTAATCTTTTTTTAATGGAAAAACATTAAAAAAAAAAAAACTGTCGTTGAACAATTTGACGTCAATGCTTTCGTTTCTTCAGTAGTTCGTTTTCTTTGTTTCGTTTAGCGTATCAGTCGAAGTCATATCATAGCAGAGTAAACTTCGTGCGAGACCAAAATCTAAAACGATAAGTCTTAGTTTTAATTCTGTTCGACGAGAAAATTTCTTTTTTATCAAATAACATGTTCATTTCTGTATCTTTTATCTTAATTAAAATTAAACTAGTAGAAATTATAACTAATGTTAATGTGTGATTAAAATGAAAGTTTATCCCCGTTTTTTTTTTTTTTTTTTTTTTTTTTTTTTTTTTTTTTTTTTTTTTTTTTTTTTAACGAAAGCTAGTGAATAATTATTTGTAAATAATGGTACTTTTTCAGATAATTATATTTTAAAAATGTATTTATTTAATAATGTTTATTTATGTTCTCAGGCACCAACGTTGAAATTGTATTGGCACACAGTACGAATCTCCTGCAACGATTCCGATATCCTTGGGATATGTTAACACTAATGTATGTCACAGTGAAGTATGCCGGTGCAAATCTTGACGAGGCTCTCAGACGTATCGAGGAAGGTGAGATATATTATTTATCTATTATATTTTGAAGAATGAATTTGGACAACTAGAATAATTTTGAATAACTTTAACAGTTAAACATTGGATACCGGACGTTTACTCAATATTAATTATATATATAAAGAAAAATTTTTTATTACTCTTATACATTGCTTTTGTTATATGCACTTATTATTCAAAAATTGAGAAGAATTTCGAACGCGACTTTAATAACATTAATAATAATTTATTTATGACTTGTAAGAGGAATTATATAGACTGTTTTATTTATATTTAATGACATAGAAGGTGAATATAGATTTTCAGAAACAAACAAAAAAAAAAAGAAACAAAAAACAAAAACAGTTATATGTTACTAAATCATTTTATATTGAAATAATTTATAATTTTTTAGAAAATTTTAGAAAATAATTTGTTATTGTCCATATTATCATAATATAAAGCTAATGATAATATTACTATTGTCGTTGAAGTTGGCAAAGTTTGGCAAAGTTTCAAGTAAATTTAATCACGTATGTTGGATCATAAAAATAAACTATCTTCGTGCGCACAATGATACTCTTCTCTTAACTTATACCAATTCTCAAATTCGAGAGTGTAATTTACGTAGAACGATCGTATTTGTCAACCCAAAAATAACATTCCATCGTGTACGTTAGCAAATATGTTAATATATATATATATTTATGAAATGCATCAAGTAGGATATAGTTAAATCATTAGATTTTATTGTTTTAACAGTTGCATTCCTATTTTAATAAATAAACACACGATGATATTTAATTCAATCTTAACGATGTTATTTACTCCTATATTATACTGCTTGAGTAATTTAAAGTCACTAACTCTCATGATGGATAATGATTGTATGCTCTATTAAAAAAACATTTATTAAACTGTTATTAAACAACTCGCATGGACTTGATTCGCGATCATGGCATATCTTACGATTGTAAAAAACAATTATCTAATACGTGATGAACAAACCTTATGCTTTCCTCTTTTTTTTTTCATATTTTTTCATATATTTATTTATTACTAATAGAAGAAGGAAAGCGTAAAAACGTTGGAAAATAAACGGAGATATAAACTCATAAAGCGATCAAGATAATATTTTATATGAGTTACGTGAAGCGTAATATCAAATGTTTAATATTAAAAGCCAACGGTCATATCATTTGTGTTAGTTGAAACATAGCATTAGATATGTAAGCTTATTTATTGTACCGCGAACGATTTTACATAATGTATTTTACTACGTAGATATGTGTAGATGTATGAAAATATATAATATAACGTATTCACAGTTTTACTTTAGTCACCAAATATACAGTTCACGTATATAAAGTCAATTCTATAAATTAGACTACATCGTTTTCTATTAGTTGAAATAACATAGACGAGTTTTAGATCAAGTGAGGTTTTTTTAACGAATATTAAATTTTATCATTTTTTACTAGCCACACAACGAAAGAACGAACAAACTTTCTATATACGTTTATATTTTTTTTTTTTTTTAAATACTTATTTATCACGCCGTTATCAAAACTAAACAATGATTGAGTTAAGAAAGGGTATCTTATTTTGTTATAATACGTGGATGAAATTAATTCGTGCCAACTTCAATGTGATTTGTAATATTTTCAATTGAAATGAGAATTCATATGAAATCCGACGTTCAGTCGATGTGACAAATGTCAAACGTTTATGGATATTTATATCTTCTCTGGAAGATCAGCATTGATTCAAGAATCAATCCACGATCTCTTGAAATTATCATCATTGAAGATACACGACGCTATGAAGATAATATTTTTTTTTTTTGGAATTGTTTTTATCGTTTTCTACATATTTTTATTTAATGTCATTTGATTCATTGGAATATCCCTGCGTTTGATTAAAAACGATTTATAATATATCTACGTCCGTGAATTTAATATAATTACTTTTCAACACGTCAAGATCATGGATGCCAAAGCACAAGGATTTTGACATTGAGATCAAGGTATGATCACAATGCCGGTATCTTTCTTTCTTTTTCTTTTTTTTTTTTTTTCTTTTTTTTAATAAAGATACGTTTCCTTAGCTAGCATTTAGATTCCGATCAGTAAGATCCGCCCACTTGACCCTCGGCGAAAAAGCTTTGCTTTTTGCAATTTTGAGAACCGAATTACTTAGTTCTCCGAACTCATCTCCCTTTCTTTCAAATGTGGACGTAAAACCCTCACCTTATACTAAACTATCATCATAATAATTTTAAATCATTACCATTATATTCATAACACTAATTTCGTATAACAGTTACGCGTTTGAAGCTTTATATAGAAATTTCCTGGAAAATTGTCGATAAAATCACTTCGATCGTTTCGTTAATTTTTAACATTAAATTATTTATAGAATTAGTAAAATAATAATTTTGAAAATTTCAAAGAATCAATTTGAATTTTAAACTTTGAATTTTAAACTTAAATGGTAAACTATTGGTAAAATTTTTGAAGATTTTTGATTTAGTTAATTCGTTATTATAATGGAGAGAAGCTTACATAAAACGTCGTGGTAAATATACCGTATGTTTCATTTTAAACAAAATAATCTCCGATCATTTTACAAATAAATGTTTCAAATAAAAATTGCTAGGTTTTGTGGGACAAATCTAATATTTATTGCAGCTATTTCATAAAGGTCATACTCTTATCAAGATACGTAAATCATAACAATTTTTTTAAATGAAAATAAATATTTTCAAATAGAATTAAACAAAGAAAAATAACAATAATTGTAAGTATAAATTTACTTTTTTTTTTTTTTATTTTATAAATTTGCATATAAATGCTAAAATTTCGGTCATCGATTGAAATGATAGTATTGCGATATTCATTCTTGTTTTTTTCAAAAGTCAAACTAAACACACGTACCAAATCTGAGTCAAGTATAATAATTGTTATAGGATATTTCTACGATCATTAATGTTATTACTGTTTCCATCTTATTCTTTCCAGAGTAGCTAAATGTTTGGTATTGGAAAATAGCCAATCGAGTAGAAATTACGAGCTGACATTCTCCTCCAACTATGAGATTTATTTTATTCAAGGTTATCCCAATGACAAAGAAAAGAAAAAAAAATATATATATATATATATATATATATATATATATAATAAAATGCCAAAGAAATGCTTAATTTTATTTGATTATTCTATATTGTTACATTTATCATGAACTTTTTTAAGCTACCTATATTTTAAATTATTCATACATATTCTAATTATTCATGCTGTATTTCGAATTATATAATACAATGGGACAATATTTAAATCTATTTTTATTTAAATGTTATTTTTCAAATTATTCCGGGAAACATACAAACTACGATTTTCATTGTCGTTGCGAAAGAAAGATATTGCCATAAAGAAAAATAAAAAATGACAGGAATAAAAAAGTTATGTGTAAGAAAAGAAATTCAAATGTTTCATCAGAAGAATTTCTTTTTTATTTTTTTTCTTCAAGTGATAATTAAATACACGTGTAAGTAATCTATTGATAATTTTATTTATAGTTTAATATCTCATTGCTCAAAATTTCCATTCGATAATAATGATAACAATTTACCTGAAAGTTTATCGAGTAACAAATTTTGTATATTTTCTAAATGCTCAATCAAAATTTGTTTTTTCTTCTTTTATATTTTTGAATTTTAATCACGAATTCGAAACTTTAATTTCTGATGTGCTAAAATCATCACATGAATTTTGCATACCAAATAAAACGTCAAAATATAAGTACTCTTGATAATATTAAATGATATTTCATATGTAACTTTACGATTAGATAATTTGCCTTGGAATAACGTAATAAATGGTCGTAATAGTTTTTTTACTAAAATATATAGAATTAATAATATCGATTATACAAATTTTTGTTTCTTGAGAAAACATAAGTACTTATTTAAATGCATTTTCATAAAGAGATATTTTAAATAAATTTAAATGAATAATGCAATACGTCAATCGTTTTATGTTAACCATTTTAATGCAATGCAATTTGTTGATAATATGATGGTAAATTTGCAAAAAAGAAAAATAACTGAACGTCATTAAGTATTTCTTATCTGAATTAACATACAAGAAGGTATTTAAAAGAGTATAAAGGAGGTAGTTGAGTTATTCATTAAGACACATGGTTGACTGTCGAATATCAGCTGATAATAAAAGTGAACCAATCATTATATATCACTTCTGTTTCTTAATTAAAACAAAAAAAAAATTATCACAAGAGTAACCCAAGTTACTTCTGAAAACAAATTGCCTCCAAATATATTATTTAATATCGTTAGAACGCTTTCTGACAGTAAAAATAATAATAATGTCATTAATACCTAATATTATCATTATTAGCTTATAAATTATATTACGTTGAAGTAACACGGCTAATTCGTACAATTAAATATATAGTAAAATACATTAGTAAATATATTAATAAAAAATATAATATTTCTTCCCTCCTAATGACGATATATAAATTAATGGAGGAAGTTATTAATATCCAAATGAACGTTTCATCAGCCTACCGTATAACAATAATTAGATATATTAGTATATATTCATCGTATATCATCTTTGATTTTGCAATGCAAACAATAATACAGGATTATTGTTAAAAAATAAGATTGAATTTTTCGTGATATAATTTTTAATTTTACATACGTAAATTGATAGATAAATTTTTCAACAAAATTGATCAATTTCATAGAGCAAAAAATTTTTTTTTACTATTCAAATCCTCGGTACGAGTTTCAATAAAATAAATTACTTGCAACAATTTCAAATGACGTTGCTTTAGTTTTGTCTGAATTAATTGATAAATTTTTGTTGAATATATTTTCAATGTGAATCTATTTCAATCGATGAAGAATATCGAAATTTATTCCATGAATGATTTAGTTTGCACTTGTAGTATTGCAACACATAATTATGAATAATTCCAAGTGTAAACTGCTTCGTGTCAAAAAGTTCATAATGCCAAAGGTGTCTTGACAACAGACATGTACACTCTACAAGGAAAAACTTCCGTGAAAGGGCTTCCGAGCATTTGAATAACGATCGCCTTGGGCAGTGTTGCATTCTTTCATCATACGATGACATTTGCATTTTCACGAAGCTCAATGTTTCGAGATTTCGTCGAGTAACGTTTCCTTAAAAAAAAAAAAAAAAAAAAAAAAAAAAAAGAAAGAAAGAAAAAGAGAAATAATAACAATTTATGATAAGTACGTATTACTGCTATCAGTTATTGGTATTGTATGAAAATGAGGAATGATAAATAGTAGAAGTTCAAGAAGAAAAGAAACATACAAAAGACAACAAAGAGTCATTTATTAAAATGGCACATATATTATCAAATAAAATTTTGTTTACGTAAAAATACTAAGGTTTTCTTCTTTCTTTTTTTTTTTTTTTTTTTTTTTTGTTATTAGAAAATGCGCACGAACTTTAAAATCAATTTAATAAAATATCAATGGAATATATAAGAGATCGACGAAGTTCGTATATGTGAAAAGGGAAAAAGAAAAAAAAAATTTATCAAAATATCTATCAAAAAAGAAAAAAAAAAAAAGAAACAATGAAGAAAAAGAAATAAATTATTAGATTGCATCGTTTATGACGAGCACGAAGTAAAACGATTGAGAAAACATTTGACCTTGTGTAAGTGCATCGATGTTCATAGCTCACATGCACATCAAATTTGCGTACGAGTAAAGCAACTTCACAAACGCAAAACACAATGACGCACGCCTACTCGTCGATGATAGCTGGCAAACTTGTTTGTAATCTTGCGTCGTCACAGTAAAACGTAAATGATGTGCTGTAAGTCTTTCAATCGAATAATATTCGTACAAATAATATTCGAAGCGATCTCACGTATTATGATACGAACACTTCTCATTAAGGCGTGCATCGGCAAATCAATTGTTGATAAAACGATACATTGATCAAAAATTAATTTAATAATTATTATAACTTCATGATTATATACAAATCTAGTATTAATTTTCATAATGAAATTTGTAAACAATATCGATATATAACATTCAAAAAATAATTAATAATATATTATTCAACCGATTATGAAGAACGTTGTTATTTAAACGATTCTAAAATTAATATCACCGTTACCGCGTCCTTTCATACTCTTTATTTTTGCATAACGGCATAATTGGAAAGTAGTTTGTCCAGTGTATTTAATCCGGTCAAGATTCAATACCCGATAAGTATAAATTTCATTGCGATAAAAGTCGATGAAAATAGAAAGTCAATTTAAGTGTTAAGTAAATTTTTAAGAAATTTATTTGTTAAAAGCAGAATAATAATGATGTTCTTCCTCAAGGCTAATAGCCTCTAAACGTTAACATGCGTGCTACCATCCACGCGAGACTCACGAAAGGAAGATGAAAAGCGACAAAGTATTCGGATCTAGCATCTGCTAATAAATTAGGCAAAAATATATGTTTCTGAATGACTGAAACTGCATTGGCCGATGGTAGAGAGGTAAATAATGAAAGAGTTTATGAACAATTTGTGGGAACAAATAATGGTCTTAATGATGAGAACGGATAACATGTTGCATGAGATCTAGGAATCTATCGATGCAGCTGAACCACGAAACCGTGGCCCTCAGGCGATTCCATATGGATAATTTAGTCAAATTACTTAGTATCTAAAATGAACCTGTACCCTTTCTTGAAAGCAACGTATTCATTTTTTCTTTTCGTTGTAATTCCCACGTGATTTTTTCGTCTTTCCTACGATATTCTTATCCTTGGAACGAAACTTTTAATATGCTCGTATATAGTCGAGAAGAAAAATTTTTCAAACGTTGCCATTAAACCGGTTTGTTAATTTTTTGATATTTGAAAAAAATCACGATTAAAAGCAATCGCTTGAAAACTTTGAAAGATTATATTGAATTGAATAAAGATAATTCTTGCAAGTGACTTTACAAGTAACTTGCTTAAAATGTCAATTCTGCTCCGTTAAACTGAGAAAGGGGGAGGGGGAGAGTGGGAATAATAAATAAATTAAACAAAACTTAAATTATCATTAGATTCGAATATACTTGTGTGAAGTGTAAATCAACGTCAAAATCTTTAGTGTTATTTATAATCTGTTTTAATAGAATATTAAGATAAACGCATCTTAAGGAGATCCGTTGGTGCATTCACTTTAGGTTAATGAACTTTTGCTTTGCTCAAGGCGAATAAACGATTTTAATACCACACCTTGAATCATCCGATATACTTCATATATCCCTCGTCAATTTTTCTTTATATTATTTTTCAATTTCATATTAACTTTTTTTTCAATTTTTCAATTTTCTCTTTTTTTTTTTTTTCTTTTTTCTTTTTTTCTTTTTTTCTTTTTTTGTATCTTTCAGTATCTGTGAAACTTCAAATGTATTCTTCTGTTTTTTTTTTTGTTCGTTATCCTTCAATGAGTTCGCTAAATAAAGCCACGTAAAACTTTTAATTGCTATTCATACACACGCCTATTTGTCACGAAGATCACGCGATAAGTTTGTCGACGTTTGTGTCGAGGTATAACTTTGTCGCGGAACATGAAATTCACACGAATATGTTGAAAATAAAAATCGTTCGTAGTATTATATGTATTTTCCCGTCCTTCTCGTCTTTAATATCGTGATGCATCGTATACGCTTAATGTTCAGCAGCGTCCTAATTGGCATTGGTAATAACACCTTGGAAGAGTGCACGCACAGTCACGGCGAGTACGAGCCTACATTGCCCGGTAAATGCGAAGTAAAAAAATGAGGAAAAAATAACTTATATTAATAATAAGAGAGGAAAATAAAGAGAGAGGGAGAGAGAGGGAGAGAGAGAGAGAGAGAGGGAGAGAGAGAATGCAGTTCTTAATCTCTTTTTCTTTTTTTTTTTTTTTTCTTGCGTCCACACAACAGGAGACGTGTGATCATCGTTAAATGCAAATTAATTTGAAGGTATTTAATAATATCCAACAAGATACGCACTTTGAGAGGTACAATCGGATATGTTCTGAAGCCTTTCAAGCCAAAGTAGTAATTTGCAATTGAGAAGTGACTATTACTGGTTCCATATTTCATGTAAATATGCATGTAATATAAAAAAAAAAGGAAGTTAGAAAATGGTCAAAAGAAAAAAAAATATTCAGATAATTCTGCTTATTGAGTCATATGTAGATTTAATGAATTCACGTGGAACTAAAAATCAAGGTTTCGAAGGATTCTAAGGATATCGTAGTGAAAAAAGGAAAAGGGAGAGATCGATCGAATCACGATTGTATCGACTTCGATCTTCGACGTAGCCTTTTTCGTTACAGATAAAAACAAAGGAACGAATCGTTTCAGGATCGAATCAAGTTTCTCAGACAGGTTCATCCTTGAAACGAATTTAAAAACGGCAAGTAGTGACCCTCGCAAAACGTGATGGCGCGTAAATTTGTACTTTTTTTATTTTTTTTTTTTCATCCTTTTTTCCATCGTTATTCTCCTTTCATTCTTTCTCTCTTCCTCTCTCTCTCTCTCTCTCTCTCTCTCTCTCTTATTTCTTCGTATCGGCAAGATAGACAAAGACGCTGGATCGCCGCATCTCGGCTATCAAAGTGTTTGACGTTTCAGATGAAAAGATCGGCCGTCGTTTTTTTCTCCCCTTCTTCCTTTCTTCCCTTTTCCTTCTTATTTTTCTTTTTTTTCTTCTTCTTTTTCTTTTATTTTTTCTTTAATTTTTTTTTTCTTTAATTTTTTTTTTTTTCTTTTTTTTTTTTATATGACGCTATTCTACGTAACGCAAGACTCTTCCCCGTATAAAATACGTGAAGACGTGGGATCTCTCGTGCATGACCGCACGAAGATCGCATTGAACGGAAGTACGTATTAACGCTAAAGCAAGAAATCTTTGTACTCTATGAAAAGCGACTAGCGTTATAAAAAGACCTACCGTATAATCGAAAGCTCTCCAACTAATTTTGCACCTCTTTTTCTCTTTTCTTTTCTTTTTATACGTTATTATTCTTCCATTCGTCTTCGTATCTTCGATTTTCTTACGCTTAAAGTTATCCATGTAAGAAATGTTACGGTCTTAAATGTCGAATATTTGACAAATTATATTACAATTTTTTTTTCGTCTCTGAGAAAATTCTTTTTATTTATAATTACATTGCATCTTTTGGGAATCATTGATGAAGTACTGTTTTCTGAAGTTAATAAAATAATTTATGACAATGACAATGA